TGAATAGTTATGAGGAAGCTATAAGGAGTGTTTCAGCCTGATATGAGCAGCCTTGAAAGGGAATTCCTTGAGTTTTTTAAATTTCTGCATAATTAAATGGTTAACCCTTTAATGTCATCACCAAGAAAAAAGCAACTTTCATATTGTGAATTTTTTATTTGTTTGGGGCAATAATAAAAACAATTGGTGCTTTTTTTTCGTTTTTTTGACCCCATAATTTTAAAAATATTCATGTCTACCAAACGGTTGAGATGGCACTTTGTGGCACACATAGTGACTCAAAATGTGCTCTAACAAATGGTTGAGCAGAACATTAAAGGGTTAAGATGTAAACAGGGTCGTTCAGAGTGGTTTGGTGTGAAACGCTCTGTTCTAGAGAAACTTACAGAGTCAGAACTGTTCACAGTGGTGGTGATAGGAACCAGACGTCCACCTCTTAAAACGCCCTCACACTGCCTGATACCAGAGACACTGTTTTGGCCTAAAATGTCTTCTTTTTAGATGTGTTAATGGTGAAAATGTATGTGGACCATGTAAGAAAACTTATATTTTCAGATTTTCCGCTCTTTTATCATCATCAGCGTGATAAGAACTCAGACGGCTATATTTATCTGTGTCTGAAGTTTGGCTTCAGACTGGATTCTACTGGTCAAACCCCATCTGTATTGAGAATGTATGGGAGCGATACTGAAGAGGTTAAAGTGTCTTTTCACTCTATAAGACTGATCTGAACTATTCATTGTACTGTTGCTCCATCTCAGAGTCACACACACACACACACACACACACACACACACACACACACACACAGTGCATGTGGTATAATTAGAGCTCATACATTTCAGAAGAGCAGAAAAAAATCATTCCTCGTGATCAGATAAGAGAGCACTGAGGCTCATTATTGTTAGGATGACTCTCTATCTCCACTAATCATGTTTTGCTGGAAGATAGGAAAGGAGAGGAAGAAGAAAAGGGAGAGAGACATGCAGAACATCAGTGTTCAGCCTATCTCCACACCAGACAATGGCGACAAATAGCCATGATGAGATATGAGGCAGATAAGGGCCGTGTCTCTCGGCTGGTTTGGCTCTGGATAGAGTCAGTAACGCTGCAGTGGGGAAATCCAGCCTTAATAAGCAACTTATCCTGCTATAATTATGCTGTCAGGCTTCATACACTAGCAGGCTGACGGGAGCGTACACAAAAAAGACTTGCCTGCCCTTTTGAGGCCGTGTGTAAACGCTGTTTTTATCATCCTGCAAATTTATGTAGATACTTTTTCACACATATTTGTTTGAGTCCAATAGGGGTGCAACGATTATTCGACTTAGCCGACTAAAATCGAAATTAGTTGGCAACGAATTTAATAGTCGATTAGTTGGTGATGTCATCAGGCGTGTTTCTCGCGCTCACTAGGAACGTTTTGACATTATCGCTTACTGGAGAGTTGACACGAAGCGCGAAAGCAGGATCAAATACAAAATCCTCAGAAGTGAGGGAGCATTTCACACTTAACTCAGAAAAAAAGACTGTTAGTTGTGCTGTTAGTAAAGCCGACCTCATCTGGCACAACAGCACATCCTCCATGACGGAGCATCTGAAGAGGAAACTCGTCGCCTCACTGGGTGAAGAAGATTAATCTCTGTAAGATGGCTGCGCTACCTAGCTACTGTTAATGCTAAAAGCCGTCTTACTTCACGTTATGAGCTGTAACATCTATATACAGGTTCTCTGGAATCGTTAATGGATTGGAAACGAAGAAGCAAGTAACTATTATTCACAGCGGCCCTGTTCACCTTTACAAATACTGTTTACAGTTTATAACATTGCATCGTTTGTCTTAACCCTCTATTGCACGACGTTGCCTCTAGGCAACAAACCCATTTTCTTCACTTTACATTAACATTATACATATTTAACGACAATGACAGGGTTAATACTAAAGCGAAGAGTTTGAGTAAGTCAATAAAAGGATGTATTTGGTTATAACATGTCTTTTAAACCTCTTTTTTAACATTCAGTATCATTTTTTTGTTGTGAGAATTTGCCGAATTATGTTTGTTGCCTAGAAGTAACACTGTGCGACAGTGGAATGGATTCAGCCAGTCAAAAGCCAGGTCTCACCACTTCAGGAAACATGGCTTTATATCATTTCTTCCCATTGTCGCCTCAGGGCAACACACCCCAAAAGGACCCCTGCACATATTATTATTTAAAAGTTTTTTTAAAATTTAATAATCAGGTCGACTTTATGAAAGAAAAGGGAATCAAATATTTTTTTTTGATTGCTGTCATAATGCATGCAGTACAGGGTTAACGTCAAGGCCACCAGTGCGCTCAGTGTAGGAGAACGTTTGCAAACAGTTTGTTTCGCGCAAACGTTTGTGATGCTCGGAAACAGTTCCAGGAGGTAGTTCTACGCGTTAGTTAGCAAATGCATAAAACAGCCTCAAGCTAAATTTAAAAGCTGATAGCTACATAAGTTATTTGGTAATTGAGTGATTTATAATCCAAATAATCGATTATTCATTTCAATAATCGATAGTTATTTCGACTATCAGATTAGTCGTTTGGTTCAGTCTTCCTCCATCACACACAGACCATTCACCCCTCAGTCTATACAGTCGCTATACGGAGAGGTCTCATCATACTTCCTGTGAAACTAAATTCTCGAGGGTTGCTCACAAGCTCTCATACTTTCTGTGGCTCCATGTTGTCTGTGGCTGATGCTCCACTAATGCAGGCGACACTACGACATTTTATATAAGTTCCATGACTGCTGGAGAACGACTCTATCACAGTTCTAACTATGGCGATGTGAGTCCAGATTGCTGCCATCATTTAAGGTGGAACGGGAAAATTTGAACAAGAAGCTGGCAAATAGGAAGCCGACTTCAGCCTCGTCCTCTTGTGAACCTAAATATAAGAGAACCTGTATGTTTTGGTGCTCAGTACTAGTTAGAACTACAGAATAACAGACTTAACGTCTTCCATTGAGGAGATATTCATTGTTTATTTAACAAATGTGTGTTTCACAGTGAAATATTGGTGTTTCTGCCGAAGCGCTCTTCATATTTCTTGCGAAACGAAGCTCCTCAAAGTCGTCTATCTTTGTTTAACGGCACGCCTCTTTTTTATCTAATCACAGGCTGCAGTAACACTTAATTTGGACAGTCCACTTTAGATGCTTTGTAGATACTTCATTTACTTGCAAGTTACATTCAACTAAATATCTACTGAATTGACCATAACTGTCTTTAACTCTAGACCTGCTCTAATCCTAACCCTCACCCTAACCTCAACCCAACACCTAAACCCAACCCTCACCCTGGTCAAAGCTCTAACCCTGGTCTGAATCCTAACCCCCAACCCCACCACTGTTTAGAATCAACTGAGTTTCAACAGATAGTTTATTAACAATTTGAATATCTATAGATAATCTATAGTGGACTCTCCAAATAAAGTGAGACACCCAGGCTTTGTCCAAGGAGTTCGCCCAACCGCGACGTCTGCGGTTGTTCGTTTTCTCCGCAATTACGTCATATTGTTCTCTGAAGCCAGGCGAACGTCGCCTCCGCAAGAAGTCTGCTGAGGCCTTAAGCTGCGAAAACAGCCTGCTTGAGCTCATTTACATACATACAGCTGTTTCGCCCATTCAGGCTGGAGTTAAGGAGTGGACTGATGGCGTCGTACAGGGCAGCCAATCAGAACAGAGCTCATTTACATGTCAGTACTAAAGGCTCAGTTTTAGCAACAAAAACAGCCTGTTTAATTCTGAGGTTGGAAAACTGCCAAGTATAAATTAATTCTGACTATTTTTGGTACATCAAACCACATAAATATATATATATATATATATATATATACATAAAAATACAGTAAAAATGGTCTCACTTCATCTGGAGAGTCCACTATAGTCCCCTATAGATGATCTACAGATGTTCAAACTGAAAATAATCTGTCTGTTGAAACTCGGTTGATTCTATACAGTGGTGGGTTTAGGGTCAGGATCTGGACCAGGGTGAGGGCTAGGAGCAGAGTGAGGGTTGGGTTTAGGTTTTGGGCCTAAAGCCAAACCCACGTATTGTGTATCGTGAAAAGTTCTTGACGTATTGTGATACTATATTCGTGCCATATCGCCCACCTCTACTCTGAAGGAGGTTCCAGTGATGGGATCAGTGAGTGTGTTTACAGGCACTCAATAATCCGATAACTGCAGAAAATCAGATTTTGTCAGTCATCCAATCAACGCGTTAAATGCACTTGAGTAATCAGATAATGGGGAAACTCCAGGTCTACATGAGTCAGACAGTAATCGGATTTCTGCTTTGCAACCAGCCAATAAACTCACGGAAGAAGACGAGACGTAAACGTAACGTAAAACTTAGCTATAAATATAAACGTACATCATCTAGAAGATGAAGAATGTTTAAATCCTTCATTTCGTTATGCATGTATTTGGTTTCAACATCGCTCCAAAAGTGTTTTGCTGCGTCTCGCGGCGATGCTGCTCACTTATTTCCGGTACTGCCGTCTGTTTTCGCACATGCTCAGACTGAGAAATACGAAAGAAATCAGAGTAAGAGTTCACATGCATGGAGAAATCTGATTACTGAGATAAAATCCAGCCTCTTTATTAGATTTTTAAATCAGATTTCTAGACTTTACTCCGATCTAAGCAATCAGAGTGTGCTGTTTACATGACCATTTGAATAATCAGATAACTGCAGAAATCTGATAATGATCTGATTATTGAGTGCATGTAAACACACTCACTGTGTCCCCAAAACTCCTTTCACACCTGCACTTAGTGCTACCTATGATCAGATCACCCAGGATGCATGTTCATGCCAGGTGTGTTCATGCCCCGCCCCCTCAAACTCAGCCAATGAGCCTCATTTTTACCCAACTTCGTATTATTCAGCCTGTAAGCAGCAGCGTTCGGCAGAAGCTCCTACAGTGCAGTGAACAGGTATCTGAAGTTATCAGTGGTGACTTACTCGGGCCGTCCCAGTCCTCTGACTCAGGCGGGCTGGACCGAACCCTCTCTTCTCCTCCTTCACTGTCCTCCTGTCCCGCCTCCTGACCTCCACACGCATCACCTGTTCAACAGAGAGGTCAAAGGTTAGGCAGGGGTGAAATCTGTGGCTTCACAATGATTAGACTGTAATTCTTTAGTGATTCAGTGCATCACAAAACACGGCTCTACTCGATTATTGTAGTAAGATTTATCTGCTGAACACACAGATGTATCCGGATTAGCTGTGTACACTGAAATGGGACTGACAGTCTTCTGATGACGTCACAGTCGCGCTGCCACCATTTTGGTAGGTAATAGCAAAGGTTATTTTTTTTCTGTTGCACCAAAATGAAAAATGTTTGGCCAAAACTTCAATTCAAGACACACTCAGCCAAAAAGCAAAACCATAAATAAAAATAATGATAAAAAACAAAACAAAATACAAATAATGCATAAAATAAATCTGTAACAGTGTTACAGTCAGAGAACATCCAAGCAGTGAATTCCATCATTCCTTTACGAAGCTGTTAAGAAATGTTTCTAGTTCAGATTTACACACCATTTAAGGTGGAGCAGAAAATTCCACTAGTTAGCCGAATAACTTCAGACTTTTAGTTATTTTGCATTAATTCGTGATTGTTTTCATCATATGACAACCTGAGTGTACAGATGGCGTCTGTGTGCTCTCAGCGACTTTCTGCTTCTGTCGTTTTGCTGTGTTCTGTGTATCAAATAGTGTTTTCGGGTGCTAGATGACCAGTGGAGAAGTTCTTGGGCTTTTTAATATATATTGTTATTGAAGCGGACAGGTATTTTACATACTTATCCCCTCCCTCGCTCCAAACTCACCACCCACAACATAATCACACATCCTCCCTTCACCCACCAATCCAAAACTGCCTGTATATTTAACAGGGAATACATTAATTATACTACAAGCAAACAAACAAATAACTAACTATCTAAATAAATACATTAAACTAAACTAAAGAAAGAAAGAAAAAAAGAAAACAATGAGGGAGAAACACTGTGGACATTCACTCACACACTTTAGTCTGTGTTTGACAATATCAGACATATGATGGCTTTTCCTAACGTACCTCTAAAATACGGTCAGTATTTTGTCTCGCTTAGTCTAAAGCCCATGTGTCAAACACAAGACCCAATCCTATCCGGCCCGCAGAAGTATTTTAACATTTAAACTCCTTGAGACCTCCGGTGGTTCCAAAACGCACTTCGTCATATTCTTCATAACTTTCATATTTCATAAGCTACATTCTAAAGGTGGGGGTCATATGAGAGCTGTAACTGTCTTCTTTCCAGTCAAATAGATGGGTGATCTAATTTTAAACCCTTATAATAAAAGAAGCTGAACTCTCAATTTTTTTCTACTGAAAGTCGACCCATTTTTCCACAAATCTGGGCTGTAAACTATAAACAGATGGCGTCTCTTCAGTGATCTGCTCTGTAAACATTATTTTAATAAAATAATACAAAGAGCTTCTAAGATTTTTGGCTTTCACCAGTAAATTGTAAGCATATAGCAATATGTTTATGATCATAAAACACATGTTCTGTTCATTTGAGGGGAGCTTTTACAAAAAAAATAAATAAAATTAAAAACTGACATTTATTTCATGCAGTTACTGAATAATTTGCCTTACGATTTGGTCATGTGAATTCAGATGGACAAACCAAAATATACCCTGGAGAACAAGAGGTTAATTTTCTATTAATATTAGCCTGTTTCATAATGTGCTGCACTACATTCCCCAGCATGCACTGCAACATAATGTGCGCTCCTACCCCAACAACGATCTATGAGACAGCGGTTACACCTCAATTCTACACAGTTTCACACCAGTCACATCACCAAACACACCAACTGCATTTCAGCCAGTATAAACACATTAACTCAGAAACTGAGCCCAAGACTTAATGAACAGCAAAGACAGGATGTCAGGTGTCTAATTCAGGCACACAGGTAGGTTTAAAAGACTGAGCTCTGGGGGCGTTTACATTTAGAATATTTCAAGTATTTATGTAATATTTCAGGGTCTACTGCAAGTGTCTGTATTTTACTGCTGATTTTGATTACTGTTGACATTTTGAATAAACAATGGCCAGTTCGGGTTACAGCACAACATTAATTCAAAGTGAAATAAAAACTAAAAAAATTAAATAAAAAAGAAAAAAATAAAGTGAAACAAATTTTTTTCCCCACTGATTTTTTTTAGATTTTTTTATGACCCCTTTAGTGGTTGAGTTTGACACCCCTGGTCTAAAGTGAGAGTCTTTAGCTTTTTAAAGTAGGATAACAGCCTCCCAGGGTTCTTCGGCATCTTGATGCTCCACATGATATTTTCACTGCTGCTCTGCTGATCAAAGTGTTTGGACGACTCTGCTGACCGACGCAGGAGAAAACAAAAAACATTTTCACGCTTTGTTTTCATTCCTATTAAATTTATTTCTAAAGCATTTTGACACTTCATTATAGGCCTGTTTAATCTGTCAACGACTGGAAGACCATTTTATGACCTTTTTTTGGACGAAATGTTTTAATGGCTGAAATTTCAGTGCATGTAAAAAGTCCAATAAAAAAACAAAACAAGATATGAGTTCAGAGTTCAAGTTCATTATTTACATATAAAAAATGAAGGGATTCTACAGCAGAATATTACAGTAACTGGTACCCAATTCATCAGAGAGGTCAGTCGAACTGGATCATGATCAATACACACACTATAACTTTACTAAAATGTATGCTTAAAAACAGCACATATCAGTCCAGGATGTCACATCATACACTAAAAACACTGCAGCTTTAATAAGCAAACTAGCATATTTTACTGAATTTTATGTGGCTGGATTGGATCAGTACTGATCCACTGAGTTCGGCTGATACTCAACATTAAACTACTCAAATCAGATCAGAGGTCAAAATAACTGAATTGGGACATTCCTGACTCTCTCGTTTGAAGACAGCCTGGGAATTTAATCCAATACAAAACAAAATCAACTGATTGAACAAATAAACCCAGAATGACGACACTGGGTCTGTGGCACTGCTGATCTTTCTCTTTTTGGAGAATCACTCAGAGTTTAAAATCCAGCACATTCCTTATGAGAAAAGGAGAAATGCAGGAGAGCGAGAGAGAGAAGGAGAGAGAGCGAGAGAGACAGAGCAAGAGAGAGAAAGAGAGGGAGAGCGAGTGAGAGAGAGAGAAAGAGAGAGCGAGAGAGAGTGAGAGAGCGAGAGAAAGAGAGAGCGAGAGAAAGAGCAAGAGAAAGAGAGAGAGCGAGAGTGAAAGAGAGAGAGAGCGAGAGAAAGAGAAAGCGAAAGAGGAAGAGAGCGAGAGAAAGAGCGAAAGAGAGAGCGAGAGAGAAAGCGAGAGAGAGAAAGAGAGAGAGAGAAAGAGAGAGACAGAGAGAGAGAGAGACAGAGAGCGAGAGAGAGAGACAGAGAGAGCGAGAGAGAGAGAGAGAGAGAGAGAGAGCGAAAGAGTGAGAGAAAGAGAAAGAGAGAGACAGAGAGAGCAAGAGAGAGCGATGTACTTCTCTTAATTATCACATATTAATCTTGATTTATATTTTGATTTATTTATTATTTTATTTATATATATAGATTTTTTTTTTTTTTGTAAATAACTTTTGATATATAGACCATTTTTGTTATGCTTTGACAATACAAATGTACATTTGTCATGTCAATAAAGCAAACTTGAACTTGAGGGAGAGAGAGAGTGAGAGAGAGAGAGAGAGAGAGTGAGAGAGAGAGAGAGCGAAAGAGACAGAGAGAGTAAGAGAGAGAGAGAGAGAGAAAGAGACAGAGAGAGAGAGAGAGAGAGAGAGAGAGAGAAAGAGACAGAGAGAGTGAGAGAGAGAGAGAGAGAGAGAGAAAGAGACAGAGAGAGAGAGAGAGAGAGAGAGAGAGAGAGAGAGAAAGAGACAGAGAGAGAGAGAGAGAGAGAGAGAGCGAGAGAGAGACAGCGAACTGTCCCAGGACCCACCTTGATCACAGACTTGTTCTCTTAGTTAAGCCCTGTGACGAAACTTATTGGAAATGTTTAATTACAGTGTAGGGAAAGAAATTAAGCTACAGGATGATTCCTTAATTAAGCCGTGATTAAGGATTTTCTGCCTTTGGCTTTGACACCACGGGAACGCACGCTATTATTAAACACCGCTTTAGGCCAGAGGAACCGAACCTCAGCTTTAGCTTCACATTTCCTCCAGAAACTGACAGAACACAAAGACGGGAATCGGCTTCCAGCCTGCTGGAGTAAAACACACGCCAGGCTGAGAGCGGCGCTGATTAGGCCTGAACTCTGTGGACTAAATACTAACACTGCGATGACTTTGGTACACATTGCGATTAATATATTAATATATTTGCAAATAGTTAGTTTGTGCACCAAATTCCTTGTTGTTGATGAGTGTAAATAAGTGAACACATCCTCTACAGAGACCCACCACTGCACATTTAAACACACAATTACTGCTTATTTGCTGAGTTTGACATATTGGGAGAAAAATAAAACATAAAATGTGGCCTGTAACAGTTATGGCACATTTTATACATTATGTTTAATTTTTTAAATGTGTTAAACTCAGCAAATAAATAGAAAATTGTGTAAAATGTGCTGAAAAAATAATGACAAAAGTGTTATTTCCACTTATAAAATCAACAGAATACATAACTTACCTGGCGGTTTCCAGACTTTTGCATATCACTTTATTAAAGCGAAGCCTTACTGTTAATACTTACATCTGTTTAAATAGTGCCCATACATACTGCTACTGAAATAAGAAGCACAGACCAAATGGAAACCTGTTATAATAAACATGACAAATATGCAAATTAGCTGTACTAGTAGGCCGCCACCGTCACGCTGTGATGTCATATGCTCGCACTGGACTCCGATTACTACTGTAAGAGCATTTCAGCTGGATGCTCCAACACTTTACTAAATAAGCTCCAACTGGTCCAGGATGCAGCTGCTAGAGTCCTAAAAGGACCAAGAAATTTGACCATATATCCCCAATCCTCTCATCACTACACTGGCTACCTGTTAAATGTGG